ATGTGCCGTATATTCCATTTTTGTCCCTCTAGCCTCATGAATATATTGAAAGCTCTGCTCAGTTTCTTGCCAATCAACTACCTTTTCTCGAAAACGCTGGCTCTCTGATTTCCACCTCCTCTCATGCTTTGGCCCCCTAATTCTTCACTGTGTTGTTAATTGTCTGATGCTTTCAACAGAAGACTTACATTTTGTCCAATTTTGGGGTCGTAGTGGGAGAGTTAGTCCAAATTACATAGTTCACTTTTATCAGGAGTGAACTCTAGAAAGTTTATAGTACAGAAGAGAAAATGTGATTAGTAAACTCCACTTAATGTTCTCATCCTTCCCATTAAACGTGGTGCATACTGTCTTTTTATATGTCACAGGAAAGTATGGTACTGGTCATTATAAGCAAATTCTAGACGGTATCTGCAAAACCGAGGACATCTCTCACTTTCACTAGTCATTCTGAATAGTACCTGCATAATACAGGCATCCTTTTGAAGACAAGCTCAAGAAGTTACAAAGGAGCTCACAGCACCTCTGCCTCTTTTTCTTTTCTGTTTTTTAATCTCCATCATCTCTTAACAAAATGAAATCTAGGATTTTGTTCAATTAGACTTTGTCAGGAAACTCTTTGGAGAGTAGTTATTGTTAATTTCAGGGTCTTGTTATTGTGAACCAGACATACTTATCTAGTTAATACAAGACATAAGGACATCTAACAAAACTTCCCATTCAGTGCTGAAATGATGCAAAGCACAGCCCACATAGGGTGAACTTCTGAACATTCTGGGCCACATTTGCGGGAGTGTGTGCAATAACTGGGTCCTTGGTAAGGTTTAGGGGACTCTCAGGAACATGGGCTATACTGGATTGCTTCCCATTGATTGAGACTTTTTTTGAAACCCTTTTCCTTGGGCTAAGAAAGATGAAATTCTACCATTGCGAATAATGACACAAACTTCCTTTAACTAATACCCTAAATTTCCTAATTTTTTTCCATAATATTCACATCAGGGAGTGAATTATTTCTCAATAACTGAAATGAATCAATGAATAAATAAACCTCCTCTTAAAAGGCTTCATTCTGAGGGACAAAAATTGTGGCAGAATTTTTTTTTAATGTGCAGTTTCATGGAGCTTTTGTTGATTTCACAACCGTGCTGTCTGCCAGCGAGTCCCGTGCTGCCTCTTTGTGAGTTATTATAACCAAGTTGTCACATAATATGTGGTCATATTATAAGAATGTTTTGTAGGTAAGTGGAAGAGAATAATAAAACATTGCTATAATTTGTGAGCATCAGTTCCTATTCCAGGCAATTAATATTTATCATATTTAATCTTCACAATAAACGTCAGTATTGATATTAGTGTTTTTTCCCACAAATTACAAACTGCATTTCAGAAAAAAAAATTACATTCCTAAGTTCAGCTAATAGTATTTGTAGTATATTTTACTATACTCGTCCGTGTTGATTGTTTCTCCTTGAGGTGTTTCTCTGTGATGGAGAATTACACACCCGACTCTAGAGCTCAGGCTTGATCTCATGACTTGCTTGGCCAGTGAAATGTGAACAGAAGTAATGTATGTCACTTCTGGGCAAAAACTTTAGGAGCCAACATTTGGTTCACCATTTTGCTCTGTCAGGAGAAATAGCATTGTTGAAAATAGAGAGTGGTGAAGTGATACGGAGGAGAGTTGCAGCCAAATCAGTATAGACATGTAATAGATGGTAGCAATAAACCTCTTTGACAGCCCATGATATAATTGGAATCATTTCTTTACTATAGCATAACCTTTCCTGACCGACACAGTACCAGAGACGGGACATACGCTCAACCCAAGTTCATCTTAAAGCCCATGCTTGTGCTGCTCTTTTTTTCTTAAACCCATTCGCATTAGAGTTACTTATCAATTGTCTTACTGACTGTATACCCTCTACTTATACATTTAGTTTTCTCTTACTAATTCATGCTCTTAACTCTTCGATCTCTGTTACCTCATGTCTTTGTGACCTCATCCTATTTTTACATTTTTCTAGGTTAACAAGTTATTAGCTGTAGTTCTGTGGATATTAATGGACGTTACTGTAATTGTAGAATTTAGAAGCTGAAAGCTACGTTCTGAAATATACTTGTTTTATTCTGCATTGCTGGGTTTTATAAAAACATTGAGCTTCAGTAACACAGCATTAGGAATATTTTTAATTTTACTCAACAGCAGTGGGAACTGTGTAAATACATTAGAAGTGCTGTATGAAAACAAAATACCAAATAGAGATTTTTTTCACTGTGAAGTTTTGTGTCAATTTAAGTGCCATTCAGATTTGTTGTATATCATACTTTTATTTAAGACTTATGATCAGTCCTATTTTGTCTAATCATTGCTTTTATCTTTTTATATGTAAATACCCATCTCATTACTTATTTATAGCTAATGAAATAACCCCATTTCTGTTAGTCTTCACTAAATTCATTAAAATTTTACCTAAATTATTACCAGTTAGTGGTCTAAGTCAATGTGGCAATTATTTCAGCCACTTAGAGTGATCTGTTGGTCAGACTTTCTAAACATTGCCAGGGAACAGCTGATAAAATCCTAAATTACACACTTTACCAGTAATGTAGAGATTAACTTTTTTCCACAAATCTGTGTGTCTTGTAGTTTAAAGTGGATATTGAGTCTTGTACATGTTTCTATTTAACGTGAATTAATTATAGATATTTAAAATAGTATGTTTGGTTTAATATCTTACAATAAATTACATAATTTATGAAACTTTTATTTATAAATTCCTATTAACTGATTTTGATATGGAATTATACAGAAACACTTCAATTGTCTTCACTTTTTTGTCTTGGATGTTAGAGTGCATCCTGACAGAGTTAAAAAAAAAAACAACTTTTTTTTGTTTTTTTGAGTATAGTTGACACACAATGTTACATTAGTTTCAGGGGTACAGCATAGTGATTCAATAGCTCTGTAGGTATGCTGTGCTCATCACAAGTGTAGCTGCCATCTGTCACCATGCAGTGCTGTTACAATACCGTAGACTGTATTGTCTATACTATATCTTTTATTCCTATGACTTATTTATTCCATAACTGGGAGCTGGTAACTCCCACTTCCCTTCCCATTTACCCTTTCCACACATATTCCTCCCCACTGGGAACCATCATTTTGTACTTACATGCCTGATTCTACTTTTTGTTCATTCATCTGTTCTCTTTTTTAGATTTCACATATAAATGAAATCATATGGTGTTTTTCTCTGATTTATTTCACTTAGCATAATACCTTGTAGGTCCATCTGTATTGTCACAAATGGCAGGATCTCTTCCTTTTTATGGCTAATATTCCATTGTATATATACCACATTTTTAATCTATTAACCTATCAATGGACACTTGGGCTGCTTCCATGTCTTGGCTATTATAAATAAAGCTGCAGTGAACAAAAAGGTGCATGTTATCTTTCAAATTAGTATTTTTGTTTTCTCTAGGTAAATACCCAGTGAAATTATTGTATCATATGGTATTTCTATTTTCAGTTTTTTGAGGAGCTTCCCCATAACAATTTACATTCTCATCCACAGTGCACAAAGTGTTCCTTTTTCTTCACATCCTTGCCAACACTTGTTATTTCTTCTTGATTCTAGCTGTTCTGACAGATGTAAAGTGATATCTCATAGTGGTTACAATTTGCTTTTCTCTGCTGATGAGTGATGTTAAGCATCTTTTCATATGTCTAATGGCCATCTGTATATCTTCTTTGGAAAAATATTCAGATCCCCTGCACATTTTTATTCAGATTATGTGGTTTTTTTGGTGTTGGGTTGTATAAACGTATGTATTTTGGATATTAACCCCTTATCAGATATCATTTGTAAATACCTCCTCCGATTTAGGAGGTTGCTTTCTTTGTTGATGGTTTTCTTTGTGCAAAAGCTTTTTATTCTGATGTAGTCCCAATAGTTTATTTTTGCTTTTGTTTCGCTTGCCTTAGGGGACAGATCTAAAACAATGTTGCTACAGCCAGGGTCAAAGAAATTACTGCCTATGTTCTCTTCTTAGAGTTTACATCAAGTCATTTTATAGATTATAATGCATAATAGGTTATTGGCTGGATATCATGCGGTATTCAGATCATTATATTAGCAAATATGTATTTGTGTTTTAAACTGTTAAAAACCTTGATCTAATGTTTTTCTAATAATAGAGTTTTCCAAGGTAAATGACTTATTTAAGGGCAAAGATTAAATATAATCTCCGTAGTCCTTACTATATTGTGGTGTAGTTCTCTTATTTCATTCTTTCAGAATTTGAAGTAGCTGTCAGAACTGATTGACCCAGGTATTTAACCTGTGCCTCAGATAGTAGATGAACTTAAATTTCCATCTCTCTCACTGTTTCTTTTCTTCATTTCTCTTATCCACCAAACTCCTGTATGAGGTTTGGCTGCTGATTCCTTGTGCCACTTCTCACAGCTTCATGGTGACAAGTGTCTTGCAGCTCAGGGTTGCTCTTTATTCAAGTATGTGCCCAGAGGAATTTTTTTTAAGATATTTTTAGTTTGACAGTTGATACACAGTTGACCCTTAAACAGTGCAGGGGTTAGGGGCACTGACCCTGCACATAGTTGAAAATCCAAATATAACTTTTGACTCTCCCAAATGTAACTACTAATAGCCTTCTGTTGACTAGAAGCCTTGCAGTAATGTAACAGTTGATTAACACATATTTTATATGTATGTTATATACTGTTATTCTTACAGTAAAATAAACTGGAGAAAAATTATTAAAATCATAAGAGAAAATACATTACTGTATAAAAAAAAAAATCCAAGCCCATGTTGTTCAAGGGTCAACTGTAGTATGTTCTCTTTTTATAGAAAAACCTGTACAGAAAATGACAAAGGTAGCATGAAAGATATATGACTACAAAAAATTTTAACTAAAATATGCACAAACCTTTAGTAAATAATTCTAAGTTGTTTCGGTTTTATATGCTTTAGATGCTGCTGTTAATTCTGGAGAACTGTGGTTTGTGAACTTTTACTCCCCAGGATGTTCACACTGCCATGATTTAGCTCCCACAGTATGTATTTTTTACATTCTGATTGCTAAAGTTTTATTCTAATCTTTTTTTAATGTATTAGGATTTTTTCCTATTAATAGTAATGATAAATATCAATTATCAAATACTTTCATATATGTATGGTTTTATTTGATAAAAATATTCTCCTTTAAGAATGTATAGCTTGAAGAGTGTTCAAGGGAAGAAAAATTATCTTATCAGGGAAATACCTGTGCTTTTTTCCTCATAGTGGAGAGACTTTGCTAAAGAAGTGGATGGATTACTTCGAATTGGTGCTGTTAACTGCGGTGATGATAGAATGCTTTGCCGAATGAAAGGAGTCAACAGTTATCCCAGCCTCTTCATTTTTAGGTCTGGAATGGTAAGGGGTAAAGTTGGCATTTTTTTAATTTGGAACTTTATGGCAAGGAAGATACTAGAGAAAACACAATACGTGATTTTGTAGATTGTTTTGATTTTTAAATCTGATTTTAGGTGCCATCTGACTAGAGCCTAGTCTTATACTTTAAATGCCATTACTTTGACCTTTCTTTATTTCAAAATTAAATGTTTACCATTGGTTTCTGTCTTAGCTGAACCATTATGCATATTTTACTTTATAGTTCACAAAATATTTTACCTGCATTGTCTCATTGAATATAAAGTTCTCATAGCCCCTTTTTTTTCTAGTGATAAAACTGAAACTAGAAAACTATTATAAATAGTTATTAAAATGTCTTTTGTGGAATCTGTACAATTGAGATCTTCATATCATTTGGAAATACACTGTACTATTGAGAGATAAATCTTATTGTATTCAAAATAATGTAAAATTAAAAGTATTTGGTATTATTTTTACTGAGTTTTTAGAAGAATAATAAAAGATATTTCTCTTTTTATAAAAAAATAATAGGCTGCAGTGAAATATCATGGTGACAGATCAAAGGAAAGTTTAGTGAGTTTCGCCATGCAACATGTTAGAAGCACTGTGACAGAATTATGGACAGGTAATTTTATTTTCTTCATTTGTTTGATTTTCAAGGATACTTTGAATTTGGTATTTTAATTTTTTTTTCAGTAATAGTGTTAATATGTTGGTCATAATATTGAAATTTTTAAAGTATCTTTTTAGAAGGGAATTTTGTCATTTTTTCTGACCTCTGCTAAATAGTTGGTATTTATAACAAATGAATCATATTTGCATAGAAACTAAAAGAGTTAAGATGTGGGAAATGAATACAATGTGATGCTAGGTGTAATGGCAGCTTTCAAAGTGCGATTGAATGTTTAGTTAACCAAGTGTTTTATTGCTTTCATAACTGTACTGTATGGCAGTCAATTCCTGCCTATCTAGTGTAATTTTGAAGTTTAAAAACTCTTTCCTCTAATCTTAGACTTCTGATTGATCAAATGACTTTAGGTGGGTTATACTCTGATACCCATGTAATGATAGTATTCACATCTAGTAAGATGTTCGCATCATTCACTGAATATAAGTTATGTCTGTGAAACTGTGTTAAATGTTAGGGCTGCAGTAATAAAATATATAATCCCTTTTTCAAGGGCCTCATTATTTTAGCAAGGAAGGCATTAGTGCAGTGTAGTAACTATTACGATAGAGGCAATCTTAGGGAAATGTGAAGAATATAAAAGAACTCAGATGGGGAAAAGTGGAAGGATTAGAAAATACTTCTTGAATGAAGTCAGACCCAATCTGTCATGAAAATGAAGAGGAAGCCTTCAAAGATCACTGTGAACTTGGTAAACTAGCAGTACTTCGCGATGAATTTAACAAAAAGATGGGCAGCGGGGTACAGTGGTATGGGGGAAAAACATGGCTAACTGAATGAGTAGACAAAGCTCAGATCACAGGGGCCTTAGTTACCAATTTTAGTCACCAATTTCTTTCTTAAGGAAATAATGAATTGATTTTAGATGATGAAAACAATGGAAAATCAATGTAGGAATTTGATATACTTCAAGAGGATTTTTATGAATTCCTGAATTCCAATAATAGATAATCAGAAATTTGCTTTATTTTCTTTTAAGGAAATTTTGTTAACTCCATACAAACTGCTTTTGCTGCTGGTGTTGGCTGGCTGATCACTTTTTGTTCCAAAGGAGGAGGTAATTTTGTTATGATGAACAAACCAAGATATTTAAATTTTAGGTGCCAGTCTTCTTATTTTTTTTAATTGAGATATTTTTTATTGAAATAACATTATGTAACTTCAGGGTATACAGCCTGTTGGGGATACACTTACATATTGCAAAATGATTACCACCATAGCATCAGCTAACACCTCCATCCTGTCACATAAATACCTTTTCTTTTTCATGGTGAGAACATTTAAAATCTACTCTCAGCAGTTTTCAAGTGTATGATCTAGTATTATTGGTTATTATCACCATGCTGTACATCACATTCCGAGAACTTGTTAAGCTTATAACAGGAAGTTTTTACCCTTTGACTAGCTGTTAGTCTTAAGTATGCCACTATAATTGATTATTCAGTACTTCATGCTACAATTTATATCCAATTATAATTTTTTATTTAATAAATACTTACATTTTTATTAATTTACACATAATTTATAAAATTATTAATTTGTTAAAAATTCATTTATGACTTTGGTGGACAAGTTTTTCAGTGTAATTATTCTCATTATAATTAATACCTTCAGGTAACCACAGATATATTTGGCAGTTTGCAAAAATAGTTGTTGACATGTAACCCTCCCAAAATAATAATTTTTTTGGTATTATGGACTTTGTCTCATACTTAACATATCAAAAATGTATACATGTTGCCTTTTAAAATATTTGAAGATAATTTTCCATTTCTAGGAACCTTTCCACCAGTAAATTAATTTGAAAATTCAATACTCTATGGGACCAAACCACAAACTATTAAACTCTGTTCAGACAATGAGATTGGTTAAAAATCAGTCCCCTTATTACAGAATACCCCCAATTCATTAACACATTTTTATATGTTTAGTCCCAACATGGGTCTTTAACCCAGACTTTACCTATCAACTTCATGCTGCTGAATTGAGAACGAATTGCCTTACAGCTAAAATCGACCACTCACCCTATCCCATAAGGCCCATCTTAGGAAAGTATTGCCTTCAAGCAAAAATAACCCTTAAATTAGTCTATCATTAAGGGATTTTGTTTCATTTTGGCCTAATGCACAGATTTCTGTTCATTCCACACATTAAGAAAAACTTTTTAACTTTCTGACATTCTTTTACCTTTCACCCCAGGTAGATTGATTTTTACCTCTCTTTATAGGCTCTGTGGTACTGCAGTTCCCTTGCTTGTAAATCTGTCTCATTGTATCCTAGCATTCCTATTTAAGGATTTTCACGAAAATGGTGAAGAAGTTATTTTAGGATTGTATTGTATCTTAGGAAGGAAAGCTTCCATATTCATTCTATGAGGACAGCATTATCCTGATACCAAAACCAGAAGACAGCACAAAAAAAGAGAGAACTGTAGGCCAATATCTCTGATGAATATAGATGCATAGATGCAAAAATCTTCAACAATACATTAAAAAAATCATTCACGATGATCAAGTGGGATTTAATTCTGGGATGCAAGGGTGGTTCAACATTAGCAAATCAATCAGTGTGGTACTTTATATCAGCAAAAGAAAAGATAACCATATGATCATTTCAGTAGATGCAGAAAAAGCATTTGACAAAGTACAGCATTCATTCATGAACAAAGTAGGTTTAGAAGGAACATACCTCAACATAATAAAGGCCGTATACTAACCTACAGCTAACATCATACTCAATGGTGACAAATTAAGGGCTTTTCTCCTAAGATCAGGGCCAAGACAAGAATGTCCACTCTTAACCACTTTTATTCAATGTAGTACTAGAAGTCCTAGCCACAGCAGTCAGACAGGAAAAAGAAACAAAAGGCATCCAGATCAGTAAGAAAGAAGTAAAACTTTCAGTATTTGCAAATGACATGATACTTAGTAAAGAAAACCCTGAAGACTCTACCAAAAACTACTAGCACTGATAAATGAATTCAGTAAAGTTGCAGGATACAAAATCAATATACAGAAACCTGTTGGCATGTCTATACCCTAATAATGAAGCAGCAGAAAGAGAAATTAAGAAAATAATCCCATTTAGAATTACACCAAGAGTAGTGAAATACTTAATAAACTTAACCAAAGAGGTGAAAGACCTATACTCTGAAAACCATAAAACATGAAAGAAACAAGATGATACAAACAAATGGAAAGATATTCCATGCTCATGGATTGGAAGAACAAATATTGTTAAAATCTCCATGCTATCCAAATCAATCTATAGATTTACTACAATCCCTATCAAAATACCAATAGCATTTTTCACAGAAATAGAACAAATAATCCTAAAATTTGTACAGAACCACAAAAACCCCAAATAGCCAAAGCAACCTTGAAAAAGAACAAAATTGGAGGTATTACAATCCCAGATTTCAAGATATTCTACAAAGCTGTAGTAATCAAAACAGTATAGTACTGGCACAAAAATAGACACACAGATCAATAGAACAGGATAGAGAGCCCAAAAATAAAGCCATGCCTATATGGTCAATTAATCTACAACAAAGGAGGAAGAATATGCAGTGGGAAAAAGACAGTCCCTTCAACAAATAGTGTTGGGGAAGCTGGACCACTTTCTCACACCATACACAAAAATGAAGTAAGGATCTAAAAGTGAGACCTGAAACCATAAAAATCTAGAAGAGAGCGCAGGCAGTAATTTCTCTGACAACAGCCATAGCAGCATTTTTCTAGATACGTCTCCTGAGGCAAGGAAAACAAAAGCAAAAGTAAACTATTGGGACTACATCAAAATAAAACTTCTGCACAGCAAAGGAAACAGCAAAACTAAAAGACAACGTATGGAATGGGAAATATATAAAAAACTAAAGAACTTACACAACTCAACACACACAAAAAACGATCCAATTTGCAAATGGGGAGGAGACATGAATAGACATCTCACCAAAGAAGACACTACAGATGGCCAACACACATGAAGATGATGAGTTATGTTGAGCATCTCACACCTGACACCTATCAGAATGACTAAAATCAAAAACACAAGAAACAAGTGTGGATGAGGATGTGGAGAAAAAGGAACCCTCATACACTGTTGGTGGGAATGCAAACTGGTGAAGCCACTGTGGCAATATGGAGGTTCCTCATAAAGTTGAAAATAGAATTACCATATAATCCAGTAATTCCTCTACTGGGTAATTACCCAAAGAATATGAAAACACTAGTTCAAAAAGATCTGTATCCGTCTGTGTTTATTGCAGCATTATTTATAATATCCAGATTATGGAAGCAGCCCAAATATCCATCAATAGATGAATGGATAAAGAAGTGGCATATATGTATATAATGGAATATTTAGCCATAAAAAAAGAATGAAATCTTGCTGTTGGCAACAATATGGATGGATCTAAAAACTATAATCCTGAGTGAAATAAGTCAGAAAAAGACATACCATATGATTTCACACATGGAATTGAAGAAATAGGAAAAAAGAGACAAACCAAGAAATAGACTATTAAGTAGAGAGAACACACTAATGGTTACCAGAGTGGTGGGTGGGGGATGGGTGAAAAAAGTAATGGAGATTAAAGAGTACACTTGCCATGATGAGCACTATAATGTATAGAATTATTGAATCCCTGTATTGTACACCTGAAACTAACACTGTATGTTAACTACTGGAGTTAAAATTAAGTAAAAGACTTGTATTTTAAAGATTCTTTATATACTTTTATCAAATAGAGCCATTACATTTTATTTCTCCAAAATCATGAGATCTCTTGGATCAAGGGGATTGTTGATAGGAGCAGAGATTTGAGAGGAAGATCCTAAAGAGATTCCCTTTAGCTAGAAATCCTGGGAAACTAGCGAGAAAATGGGAAAATGTGTGCATGCATGCGTGCGTACATGTGTTTGCGTGTGTGGAATGAGACTTTGGCCTCAGTATCTACCTAGTGTGTGTGTCACTATTTACCAGTGGAGTCCAGTCAGTTACCTTAGAGTCAACATGGTAGTTTGCAGGGGAAGGCAAACGAAAGTACAGACGTAATAAAGCTAAAGTTATGTCATAATTTTTTTTCCTCTCTAGATTGTTTGAGTTCACAGACACGACTCAGGCTCAGTGGCATGTTGGTAAGCATCAATTATTTTGTAAAACCATATGGCCATGTTAAGAAAGACATTTAAGAATTGATTTCTAAATATTTCTTTGTAGTTCCTTAACTCACTTATTTGTAAGGTTTTTTTTTGATAATGTATTCATAGCTATAAAACTTTTCTTCCTAACTAATTAAGAGTTTTGAGATATGGTGCTTTCATCGTCGTTCACTTCTAAATATCCTGTAATATAATTATGAATTCTTCTTTAATCAAAGAGGTACATATTAGTGTTGGTGTCACCTCCAAACTTTATTTCTTACTTTTTTTGTTTTGTTGTTATTTTGTTGTATATTTAGCTCGCATCATACTAAGGTTGGGGAATATAATCTGTATGTTGTTGATACTTTAACACTCATTGGAGCTCCCTTTGCTGCCTGGGAGTTTATCAGTTATGAAAATCGTGAAAAATCTATGTGTGCTCAAAAATATGTTTTCTGCGTATGTAAGGTAGAATTTTTGTATCAGACCAATTTTATCTGCATCATTTATTTTTTGTGTAAACTTTTTAAAAAACGTTTTAAATTTACAGTAGAAAAGTTGGGGGTTTCTAAATCTAAATTCCTTTAACTTTCTCTTTTACTCAACACGTGACCTGTTTTTTGTTTCTTTCCACTGTAGGATGGTCTTGTTAAGGTAGGATGGATGGACTGTGCCACCCAGGACAACCTTTGTAAAAGTTTGGATATTACAACAAGTACTACTGCCTATTTTCCTCCTGGAGCCACCTTAAGTAACAAAGAGAAAAGCAGTGTTTTGGTATGAGTTACTAATTTCTTTATATATATGTGAATACATGCATTCAAACATAATACATCATTTTATAAACAGTGAACAAGGAAATGAATCCATTTACAATAAACATTTCATTATTTAGAATAAGTATTTAATTTCTGGGATTCTGTTTAATGTTAAGATCTGCTATAAGGATTATTTTATAATGGTAGAAACCATTACCCTTTACAACCCAGAAGTATGGGAAACAGTCTTAGGTTATATGAATTTTTATTGGTTTCCATTTATGTGTATATTTTCTAATGTTAAAAATAGATCATTAGTACATTTGGCTGGGACTCAGTATTTGTTTTTTTAAACCAACCACCCTGTTAGATTCTGGTTATAAACTCAGTTTGGAAATCTGTATGGTTCATCTCCCTAATTTTGTGAATGAGGAGACTGAGGTTCAAGCTAGTTATCAAGGAGCTAAGATAAATAATGGGATATTGAATAGGTTCCTAGGAAACCTCAAAAGAAAATAATAAAAGAGAAACTTTAATTAGTTTTTATTTCTGTATTTTAATTCTGCTTTCTTGATGTTGACAAAGATAACACATACTCATTACAGAAATTCATATATGGGTATAGAAATGTATAAAGACAGATGCAAAATTCTTCTAAATCCAAATCACCCACAGATAAGCACCATCAAATCTTGATAAATACTCTTCCAGATCTCTACTTACATATATGTGCAATTATAACTTCATGCTGACAACTTTCCACTTCTGTCTGTGGCCCAGACTTCTGACCTCCACTCCAGACATAAGTATTCTACTGCCTATTCAACATCTCCCCTGGGATATTAACTGATTTTTCAAACTTAGATATCCATAACTATACCGCTGATATTCTCCCATAAATCTGCTCTGCCCACAGTTTTCTCTATCTCAGTTGATAAAAAAATCCATCCTTTCTCATTCAGGTCAAATACCTTAGAGTCATTGTTGACTCTTCTTTTTCTTATATTCTGTAACTTACATTGGGAGAATCTGTGGCTCTGTCATTAAAATCTTTCTAAAATCCACTTCCACTGCTACTAGAGCATCTATCACCTTATAATATACACTAATATATTAGCTTTGTATTTTTATTTTTCTCCCACAATACATTTTTAAGTTTGAAATTTTTTTACTGTTATATCTCAAATCCCTAGAAGATTATCTGGCACACAAGTGGACACTATATATAGTGCCTATGTATATTACATACTATCTGCTAGAGCTAAACATACACATAAATAGATAAATCAGCAATCCCGAAGTAACAATCCATTCACTAAATGTGACATGCTTAGTTACTTAATTTAATCAGTCCTCTCGATATTTAACTCACCTACTTTTTCATGGTTATAAGTAATGTTGTAATGAACAATGTTGTTTGTTCATCTTTGTGTACTTCTTTAGTTACCTGTTTAGATGAAATAGCCGTGGCAGTTTTAATTTCAGTTTGCCAGACTGGCCCTATAGAAAATTTCTGTTTATATTGTCCCACAGTTCATGAGCATGCCTATTCCCTTAATAGAAGTTCGTGTCTTCAGTACTACAGTCTCATATTTTAGTGAGATCTTTCTGCTTTTTGATATAAAACTTCAAACTCAGATGCAATCTTAGGAGACATAAATGAGTAATACTGGAAGTGTAACTGCAGGGAGTGATGAATTAAATGGTCCTTGTCACTTCTAAAAGCATTCAAGTTTTTAGAAAAGTAAGACATCTGTTGGTCTCCTCAAACTGAATTGGGTGAGAAAAAGTATGGTCTAATATAAACATCTTGGTTATCTCTCAAAGTCAGTTCCATTTTTGCTGTTGGCAAATCTTGCCTTGTTTATTCCAGTGGCAGTTTTTTCTGCTTAATGGTTTGTTTTGTTGGAATGTGAGTTCATTTATTTGTATGTCATATGTAGTTTATGTCTTAAACGCTCTCTTTCCCACGTAAATTCCAGTTGTAATACTTGACATCCATTTGAGAAGATCCATCTCTTCCTTCTTTCCTAGTCAGTATGTTCAGCAAACATACATTTACCAAGCCCTTACTGTGGACAGAATTGTACTGGGTAATTGGGAAGAAAAATAGATAAAAGTCCACATAGTATAGTGAATCATTACAGTGTGGCCTCGTTGTTTTGGGATGTATTATTTACAAGAGCATTTTACACCATTCATATCCTAATGTTATTCTAAAACCCAGTATCCTATCAAGGGTAATTTTGTGGTTATCTGCCCCCCCCCCCAAAAAAGTACCCAGTGGTTTTTTTTTTTGCATTCCATCGATAATGAAAAAAATTTCAATCTGTAATAAACTGATTTATTGTGAAGTGACTGTAATATAGTGAAGTTATATTAAATTGTTAAAACTCTGTCTCCCCAAACACATATTGGGAAGTAATCCCCCAAAAAGGTATGTAACTTTGCATTAGGTATAAAGAAAACTCTGGGTGCTATAATTAGGTTATTTTGAGTTATTGTCCCAGCTGATTTAGTATGTTCTGTAATTGAGAAATGTTCACCACATTACACCTTTTAAAAGTGATGTACATGTACGTTTTATAGGGGACATGTCTGTATATAATGAATAAAAGGAAGGGAGGGAGGAAGGAAGAAATTCAGAGGTTATACAGTATCCTTTGTAAGTGTAACTACCAAGTTTTACTATATGACAAACAGGTTTATAATGAGGTTCTAGTGGAATAATCAGGAGTATTTAATAAAATCTTTCTAATAAATGTGACTGATGTCAATGACCTGTAGTACTATGGCATGTAGTACTTTGGGCCTTTTAAGCCCTTTGGTAACAGAAAATATTTCATATAGATCTTTAACAATATGCTAAAGTTTTAAGAAAAAAGAACAAAAACAAGTTTTAAGAATAGAAACTTAGGAAAAACCGTTTTCTATTCTTACGTTATACCCGTTGTTTCTCTCTATATGGTTATTCTCATGTTGGGCACAGTTAAGCTCTGAATACCATGGAAGTTGCTATTAAGTTTTTAATGGAGTTTCAGGCCTTTCAAGTAATACTGAATGATCAGGCATAGGTGGTTCATAATTAAACTCTGTTTTGTCAACCCCCAAATACATTTTCCTGATGTGACCATTTGTTGTTAACAGCTGCTTCTTTGAGAATTACATGAGCAGGGAGAGTGTTGAGAAAAATATGCTAAGGATAAAATATGAACAGAAATAAAGGAAATTTGTTAGAAAGGAGATGGGCCTTTTTCACTTGTTTGTGTTTTAAACCTTTAAGATAAGGTCTTTATCAGGATGTTTAACTCTGCCAAACCCCTAGGTGGTTAGGTTTTTGGACTTTATTTCTGAAAACCTCTATAATAAAGAGTATTCCAATTTTCCAGTTATAAGTTCTGAATTCTACTAGTTATTGGTTAGGGTATGCAGTGTCTTGGGTCATCAAATAGTCTAGTGTTTTAATTAATAATTCTTTTAAAAGTTTGTAAAGCATTGGCATTCTGCAAAACATGATGAGCATTAAAATTGCTCTGAACATAATACAGTTTTTTCCCCAATAATTCAGAGGTTACTCCAGATTATTGTGAGGATTATTATAGAATGCACACCACAATTAAAAGAAAATTCCAGATAATGGAATTTTAATTTTACATCAATATTTTTAAGAAACAGCCCAGTTACACAATTTTTTAATTGCCAAAGTATACTTTTTAAAAAACATTTAGAATAAATAGCTCAAACACTGTTTTTAACTTTTGTGATTTTTTTTTCTTAAGAGAGTTCTATGGAAAAAAGACACTAAAAGAAATGGATGTTGATTAAAAGATTACAATATGATTCTCTTATTTTAGTTCCTTAATTCATTGGATGCTAAAGAAATATATTTGGAAATAATGCATAATCTTCCAGATTTTGAACTACTTTCGGCAAACACACTAGAGGTAATATTTCTGTTAATAATAATAAATGGTAGTAAATGTTGGTAACATTTCAAGTCTTAACATTTTAAAATCAGCATTTGTTTTATTCATCACTAGAAAGCAGTTTCAAAGGATTTTATATATTAATGTATATATGTTAGCTATTCTAGGTTAAACTCTAATGGCTGGAGTTGCAACTTTAGGGTGGGTCTGGAGTTCAATACAACATAACCAGTCCTGAATGGGGGCCTCAATGGGAGTATCAAAAAAGCCAAGATTTTGATCACAAAGCAGCTTTCAATCTGATGTGGAATTTTATATGTTCTTGCTTACAGAACTATTTATATTGTTCACTGAGAACTAAGAAGCAACTTTAGAAATACTCAGTTTGTAGTAAAAGCGTTTTTTTTTTCTACTCAGTGATCCCAGAGCTGTCTGTATCCCTAGCCAACTCTGCTAAACCTGAAAAAGCTTGCTTCTCTACCCCCAACTCTTTAGCTATATATCATTAAAACTATGTATTTTTTTTGGCACAGTTGTCTGCTTTTAGATTTTATAATTTAGTGATTTTTAGCCTTTAATATAGAATTGATTTACGTAGCATTATTCCAGAGAAATACAAAATATAAGCATAAATGGGTCTGAATTTTAAACAGTATTTTGAAGTAATGGGTATGGTGCCTAAAATTAACTTTAAGTCAAAGAAATAAAGAATAGAACCCTTAGAATTTCTTGATTCTGACATTTTTATCACTTCTAAGGATCGGTTGGCTCATCATCGGTGGCTCATATTTTTTAATTTTGGAAAACATGAAAATTCAAATGATCCTGAGTTGAAGAAACTAAAAACTCTACTTAAAAATGAACATATTCAAGTAAGAAAAATGCATTCTGCCTAGTCTTCTGCTAGTGTGCTTTCTTATTAATTTAATATATAAAATTATATTTTAGGTAACATAAAAATGCTTATTTGAAATTCTAGGTTAAGAAAACCCTAAGTGCTTTTGTTCTTCTGTTGTGATTTTGTTTTTCTATTAAAAATCTACAGTGATATCTGAAAACAGTTAACTTTCATTTCTCTTTAGTAGCTGCCATGTGATATATCGGTATCAGACAGTTTTCTGGAATGACATACCATAGAAAAATATCTTTCCCTCCTTAAAATTCTTATTTATGTAAATAATTTGTACTCATAGTTTAAAAATTAGGATAATATAAATAAGCACAAAAACGAATTAAAATATTTAATATTTTCACCACTGTTAATAGCCCTACTATAAATTTACTGTGTAATTTTTCAGACTTTTTCTGCATATGTTTTAGTATGTGGGCATAAGGATATGTGTGTACATAAATGCATATTGCAATGGCCATTATAACAGACATACCTGTAACTTTATTTATGAACTTTTTTAATAAAAATGGATTCACTGTAGGGGCGCCTGGGTGGTACAATCGGTTAAGTGTCCGACTTGGTTTCAGCTCAGGTCTTGATCTCAGGGTCATGAGATTGAGCCCCACGTCCGGCTCTGCCCTTAGTGTAAAGTCTGAGTTGCTCTTGCCCTCTCCCTCTGCCCCTCTCCCCTCTCTTGGGTGCTCTCTCTCTCTCTATCTCTCTCTCTCCCCCTAAAATAAATCAGTCTTTAAAAACAAAAAGAACCCCAAAAAATGGATTCACTATACAGTAGTCCCTCTTTTCTGCAGGGGATATGTTCCAAGGCCTCCAGTGGATGCCTGAAACCACAGATAGTACCAAACCCTATATATACTTGTTTTTTTCCTATACATACATATCCATAATAGAGTTTAATTCATAAATTAGGCCCAGTAAAAGATTAGCAATAATAATAAAATGGACAATTGCAATAATATACTATAACGAAAGTTATGTGAGAATGGTCTCTTACTATACTGCACTGTACTCACCCTTGTAAACTGATATGAGATGATAAAATGCCTGCATGATGAGATGAAGTGAGGTGAATGACGTAGGCACTGTGACGTGGTGTTTAGCTACTACTGACCTGAGAATACCCGAGAAAGAGAATCGTATACTTCTGGATTACAGTTGGACCAGTGGGAACCAAAACTGTGGAAAGTGAAACCACTGATAAGGGGGGGAACTGCTGTATTCTCTTGTGTAGAATTATCCATTTGACGATGTCGTATATTTTCTTATATGCTAGTTTGTGTATGTATATATATGTGTGTTTGTGTGTATGAATATGTGTATATGTAGATGTATATATATATGTATATGAAGCACTACCTGGTCTTTAGAGATGATGGTAAATATATACATATATATATAAACATATCAAATACATTACTAAACACATATGAAATAGATATTTATCATCCTAGAGATACCATCCTCCCTAAAGTCTAGGTAGTATTTCACTATATGGTTACACCAGAGTTGTTTAACAGATCCTCTTTTACTAACATCATTTCCATTATTTTTTTATATTAAGAATACATACTCTAAAAATGCAGTATGAAGAATTTTTTTAACCAAAGTTGTTTTTTCTTAAATTGTCCTCATTACCAGTGGTCCTCCAGAATGTTTATATCATTTTATATTCTTATAACATGTCAGTAACCATTTCTCCACACCTGTGCCAGCCATGGTATTATCATTTTTTTAATAACCATTCTGATAAGCCAAAAGTGATATGTTAATAATATTCATTTTCACTTATTTGCTTCCTGGTGGGGTTGAAAAAGTTTTTTTGTGATTATTAACAAATCATGATTTTTCTCTATTTTCTGTCTCTGGCCCATTTTCTTTCTTCTGATAGGATATTTATCTTTTATTTCTTAGTGGATCCTCTGAAATCCTCAGATATTTTTTCTTGGTTTATCATTTCCCTCTTAGTATTCTTTATGCTGTTTCCCTTACAGTGTATGAAATTGTCAGGCTTTGCTTTATTATTTCTGCTTTTAGGGTATGAAAATGTTTTCTCTCTCCCCCATTCCAAGCTTATATAAATACTCCCTATATTTTTAGAAGAGTGGATTTCTTGAACTTTTTTTTAAGATTTTATTTATTTATTTGAGAGAGACCACAGCGGGGGGAGCAGCAGGCCCCCTGTGGAGCAGGGAGCCCAATGAGGGGCTTGATCCCAAGACTTTGGAATCATGACCTGAGCTGAAGGCAGACGCTTAACTGAGCACCCAGGCTCCCAAAAGAGTGGATTTCTTAAACAACTTCCTATTTTCTGGAAAATTTTCTCAGGCTTTTGAACTCTAAAAGGCTTTTTTTTTTTTCCCTTAACTAAAATTGAGTTTCAGTGTTAAATGTGAATTATTTCTTTTATTTTTATGGCCAGTTAATTTGTTTAGAAACTATTGTTAGAGCAGTGTCATTCCTTTATGAATATTTAAAAAAATGAATGCGTATGATTTTGTTTTCATCAATTTAAATTTTCTACTTTAGGTTGGTAAGTTTGACTGTTCCTCTGCACCAGACATCTGTAGTAATCTGTATGTGTTTCAGCCATGTTTAGCAGTATTTAAAGGACAAGGAACCAAAGAATATGAAATCCATCATGGTAAGAAGGGAGAAAATGATAAAAATGTATATTTATTTTCAAATAGCAATTTTTTAATTGTACTTTTTACCTTGTTTTTTTAAAATTCTTTAATTGACATGTAGTTGACACACTGTGTTATATTAGTTTCAGGTGTAAAGCAGTGATTCCCCAACTCTGTACGTTATGCTGTGCTCATACAGGTGTAGTTAGCATCAATCACAGTACCATTTACTATAGTCCTATGCTCTACCTTTCATCTCCATGCCTTATTCATTCCATAGCTGGAAGCCTGTAACTCCCATGCCATTTCACCCATTTTGCCCATCCTGTCATCGCTCTCCCCTGAGTAACCACCAGTTCTCTGTATTTATGAGTCTGTTTCTACTTTGTTTTGTTTTTTGGATTCCACATATAAGTGAAGTCATATATTTGTCTTCTCAGACTTATTTCACTTAGCATCATATATTCTAGGTCTCTCCATATTGCCGCAAATGGCAAGATCTTCTTCTGTTTCATGGCTAACAGTACTCCATCTGTGTGTATGTGTATGTCTGTGTACATACACACATCTTCTTTATCCATCTGTCAGTGCACACTTGTGTTGCTTCCATATCTTGGCTGTTGTAAATTAATGCTGAAATAAACACAGGGGTGCATATAGCTTTTCAAATTAGTGTTTTTGTTTTCTTTGGGTAAATACTCAATAGTGAAATTACTGGATTGTATGGCATTTTTAATTTTTTGAGGAACCGCTCTACTGTTTTCCACAGTGGCTGCACCAATTTGTATTCCCATCAACAGTACATGAGGGTTCTTTTTTTCTACATTGTTGCCAACTCTGGCTATTTGTCTTTTTGTTATTAGGTGTTCTGATGGGTATAAGGTGATATCTCATTGTCGTTTCGATTTGCTTTTCCCTGATGATATTAGATATATCATTTGAGGGGTATCTGCATGTCTCAGTAACTTAAGTGTCCGACTCTTAATTTCAACTCAAATCGTGATCTCAGGGTCGTGAGATCAAGCCCCAGGTTGGGCTCTGCGCTGAGCGTGGAGCCTGCTTAAAATTCTCTCTCCCTCTTGGGGCACCTAGGTGGCTCAGTTGGTTGGGCGTCTGACTCCTGGTTTTGGCTTAGGTCATGATCTCATAGGTTGTGATATTGAGTCCCTCGTTGGGCTCCATGGTCAGCGGGGAGTCTGCTTGAAGATTTTCTCCCTCTGCCCCTCCCCCCATTTGCTCAGCGCTCACACACTCTCTCCCTCTCTCTCTAAAACAAATAAATCTGGGACACGTGGGTGGCTCAGTTGGTTGAGCATCTGCCTTCGGCTCAGGTCATGATCCCAGGGTCCTGGGATCAAGTTCCGCATCAGGCTCCTTGCTCGACAGGTAGCCTGTTTCTCCCTCTGCCTGCCCCTCTCCCCTGCTTGTGCACTCTCTCTCTCTCTCTCTCTGACAAATAAATAAATAAAAATCTTTAAAATAAATAAATAAGTAAAATCTAAAAAAAAAAAAAGACACTCTTTCCCTCAGCCCCTAACCCCCCATCTCGAGTGCACTCTCTCTATCCTTATATATAAAGTTAAAAAAAATAATGTAGCATTTGAAAATCACTACTACCATTCAGTAGCTTGCCTTTTCCTTTTGTTGATTGTTTCCTTCACTGTGCAAAATTTTTTTATTTTGGTGTAGTCCTGATAGTTTATTTTTGCTTTTGTTTCCCTTGCCTGAGGAGACAGGTCTAGAAAAATTGTTAACTAAGGCCAATGTCAGAGATTACTGCCTATATTTTCTTACAGGACTTCTTTGGTTTCAGGTTTCACGTTCAGGTCTTTGATACCTTTTGAGTTTATTTTTGTGTATGGTGTAAGAAAGTGGTTGAATTTCATTCTTTTGCATGTAGCTGACCGGTTTTCCTAGTGCCATTTACTGAGGAGACTCTCTTTTCCCCATTGTATAATCTTGCCTCCTTTGTCAAAGATTAATTGACTATGTAAGCATGGGTTTATTTCTAGGGTCTCTGTTCTATAGTCCCATTGACCTAAGTGTCTGTTTTTATGCCATACCATGCTGTCGTGTTTACTATAGCTTTGTCCTGTATCTTGAAGTCAGGGAGCATGATATCTAGATTTGTTCTTTTTCAAGATCACTTTGGCTATTTGGGGTCTTTTGTGGTTCTTTTTACTTTGTTTTATATAAATATACTTACTGTAAATAACTTCGCTTTTATTAGTAAATAGGTTTCTTTTGGAGAAAGATTTTTTGAATTATATTTAGTTATTTTATTCTCTTTTCATTTTAAGATAACTTTTTTCTGCTATTTTGATTAGTGTTTCAGCAAGAATGCTGGTGACATGTCAGGTTAGCGCAAAATTTAGGGGTCTTATTAATAAAAGTAAGCAACACCTATAGTTTCCATTTCCAGTGTACCAAAGTAGCATCTCAGCCATGGGCATTTTCCAGATTTTTCCTCCACTAGACTATTAAATTTTTTTTTTTTTTAAGATTTAATTTATTTATTTGACAGAGACACAGCAAGAGAGGGAACACAAGCAGGGGGAGTGGGAGAGGGAGAAGCAGGCTTCCCGCCTAGCAGGTAGCCCGATGTGGGGCTCAATCCCAGGACCTTGGGATCATGACCTGAGCCAAAGGCAGACGCTTAATGACTGAGCCACCCGGGCGCCCCTAGACTATTAAATATTTCTACGGCTACTTTTATCTCTCTTGAATTTATAATTACATTTTTACATTTCAGCTTATAATGGGACTTCAGCTCTGCATTCATGTAAGTACAGTTGCAATTATGAGGATTTGGGATACCTCATAGTCCCTGTCCTGAAAAAGGTCAAATGTAGCAAAAGAAACACACAAACTACTAACTATAACACAGCTAAGTGAATAACAGATATTGACTGATGTTATGTGCTTAGGAATGCAAAGTTCTCTCAAGACATTTAAAATAGCAGGGCGCCTGGGTGGCTCAGTTGGTTAAGTGTCTGCCTTCAGCTCGGGTCGTGATCCCGGGATCCTGGGATCAGGTCCCTCATCGGGCTCCCTGCTCAGCGGGGAGTCTGCTTCTCCCTCTGCCTCTCTCTCTCAGTCTCTCATGAATAAATAAATAAAATCTTTAAAAAAATTTTTTTAAATATCATCTGGTGGGGTTGATAGAAGGAGATCATAAGACAATATGAAAAACATTGTAATGGCCAGTATGTATAAATTATAAGATCAAATAAAGAGACTTATGTGTAGTATAGATCCAGAGATGATGTTTGAATTGAGATAACATTTGAATGCTCAGTTTCTCAAAGCAAATAGAGAAAGCAAGAAGGGAGGCTAAGCTGAAGGAACTATGTGAGCAAAGTCTTGGCAAGATGAACCTAACAGTAACTCCTGTTTATTTAGTAGTTTCTACAAGTCAGATGTTTTTCTAAAGGCTTCACATACGTTTCCCTTGATGTTTTTATCTTCACAACAGCCCACCAAGGGAGAAAACAGCGGCTCAGGATAATTATTTGCCTATGATCAACACCTAGTAACTAGTCAAGGTGGATTTTGTATCCAAATAGGTCTGACTCCAAAGCCTAGGATTACAGCAGCACTAAACTGTACTGTCTCCTGAAAGTGCTAAAAATGACCACGTTTTAATAATGGAGTTCTGTTCTTTTTTATCTCTGAAATAATTCCGATTCCCCTCCCTTCTGTGTTTGCTGCTTTATTTCCAGTTCATCATCTCCTTCATTTACTCTGTTATCATCCTGTGGTAAAATTGACAGTCTCGTGTCACTTTTCTGCCTTGACTTTCCTATTTTTAAATTTTTTTTCATTGAAGTATAATTGGAATACAGTATTAGTTTCAGGTGTATTATATAATAATTCCCTTTTATATATACACTACAGAATGATCACCATGATGTTTAGTTACCATCTGTCATCATATCAAGTTGTTACATCATTAGTAACTCCGTTCCCTGTGCTCTACTTTACACCCCTGTGACTTGTTTATTTGTAACTGGAAGTTTGTACCTCTTAATCCCCTTAACTGTTTGACCCTTCCTCCCACCTCCCTCTCCTCTGGCAATCACCAGTTTGTTCTCTATATTTATGAGTCTGTTCTATTTTGTTTTGCTTCTTCATTCATTTTGTTTTTTAGATATTGGTAAGACAGATGTCCAAGAGTTTTCTGCCTGTGTTTTCTTTTAGGAGTCATGGTTTCAGGTCTTATATTTAGGTCTGTAATAGATTTTAAATTGATGTTTGTATATGGTTAAGAAAGTGGTCCGGTTTCATTCTTTTGCATGTAGCTCTAGTTTTCCCAGTACCATTTATTGAAGAGCCTGTCTTTTCCCCATTGTATGTTCTTATCTCCTTTGTCACAGATTGACCATATAAGTATGGGTTTATTTCTCTCTCTTCTGGCTCTCTCTTCTGTTCCATTGATCTGTGTGTCTGTTTTTGTGCCAATACCATGTGTTTTGATTATTATAGCTTTATAGTGTATCTTGAAATCAGGGAGCACGATACCTCTGGCTTTGTTCTCTTTTTTCGTGATTGCTTTGATTCTTCATGGTCTTTTGTGGTTCCATACAAATTTTAAGATAATTTGTTCTAACTGTAAAAAAATGCCATTGATGTTTTGATAGGGATTGCATTGAATATGTAGATTTTTAGAGATCATATAGACATTTTAATAACAATCCTTCCCATCTATGAAGACTGTATATCTTTCTTTTTATTTGTGTCCTCTTCAATTTCTTCAACAATGTCTTGTAGTTTTTGGAGTACAGGTCTTTTATCTCCTTGGTTACATTTATTCCTAAGTATTTTATCCTTTTTGATGCAATTCTAAATGGGATTGTTTTCATAATTTCTCAGATAGTTTGATATTATGGAAATAGCACAGATTGAGGAACCTGGGTGACTCAGTTAAGTGTCCAGCTCTTGGGGTGCCTGGGTGGCTCAGTCGGTTAAGCATCGGACTTCTGATTTCAGCTCAGGTCATGATCTCAGGGTTGTGAGATTGAGCCCCACATCGCGCTCAACGCTGGGTGTGGAGCCTGCTTAAGATTCTCCCTCTCCCTTTCCCTCTGTCCCTCCCTGCCCTCAAAAAAAAAAAAAAAAGATTTCGGTATATTAATTTTGTATCCTGTTACTTTACTGAGTTGATTTGTTCTATTAGTTTCTGAGTAGAGGGTCATTTATTTCTGCTCTGATTTTTATTTTTTCCTTCTGTTAACTTGGGACTTTATTTCTTCTTTTTCTAGTTCCTTTAAGATGTAAGGTTAGGTTGAGATTTTTCTTGTTTCCTGAGGTAGGCCTGTATCTCTATAAACTTGCCTTTTTTTTTTTTTAAGATTTTATTTATTTATTTATTTATTTATTTATTTATTTATTTGAGAGAGTGAGGGAGCAAGAGAGAGAGAACACGAGTGGGGTCAGAGGCAGAGTGAGAAGCAGACTCCCCGCTGAGCAGGGAGCCAGATGCTGAGCTCAATTCAAGACCCTGGGGTGATGACCTGAGCTGAAGACAGACACTTAACCCACTGAGCCACCCAGGCGCCCCTAAACTTGCCTCTTAAAACTGCTTTTGGTGGGTCCCATAGATTTTGGAACATTGTGTTTGATTTTTATTTGTCATAAGGCATTTTTTTGTTTTCTTCTTTCATTTCTTCAACTCGTTGGTTGTTAGGAACATGTTTAGCTTTGATGTGTTTGTGTTTTTTTCCAGTTTTGTTTGTTTCTAGTTTTACACCATTGGGTCAGAAAAAATGCTTGGTATGATTTCAGTCTTCTTAAATTTATTGAGACTTGTTTTGTGGCCTAACATGATTATCTTGGAGAATGTTCCATGTGCCCCTGAAAAGAACATATATTCTGTTTTTGAAAAGAATGTTCTGTATATATCTGTTAAGTCAAACTGGTCTAATATGTCCTTGAAGGTTACTGTTTTCTTGTTGATTTTCTGTCTGGATGATCTGTCGTCCATTGATGTATGTGAGGTGTTACTGTATTACTGTCACTTTCTCCCATTACGTCAGTTAATACTTGCTCTACGTATTAGGTGCTCCTGTGTTGACATTTATAGATTTTTATAATTATTTCCTCTTGTTGAATTGATCCCTTTATCATTTTGTAATATCCTTCTTTGTCTCTTATTACAGTCTTTGTTGTAAAGTCTGTTTAAGTATTGCTAGTCTATTTTTCCTTTTGTTTCCATTTGCATGAGGTATCTCTTGTCATCCCTTCACTTTCAGTCTGTGTATGTCCTTACATCTGAAGTGATATAGGTAGCCTAGAGAGGGGGTTTTGTTTTGTTTGCTTTTGTTATCCTTTCAGCTACCCTGTGTCTTTTGTTTGGAGCATTTGGTCCATTTACACTTAAAGTACTTACTGATGGTAGGTATGTATTGCCATTTTCTTGTAGTTCCTCTCTGTTTCTTCCTTCTCTTGTGATTTGACGACTTTGTTTAGTGTTATATTTGGATTTCTTCATTTTTTGTGCATCTGTTACAGGTTTTTGGTTATCATTAGGTTCATATATAACAACCTATGTATATAGTAGTCTTTTCAGTTGAGTGTCACTTAGGTTTGAATGCATCTTAAAAAGCACTGTGTTTTACTCTCCTGCTGACTTTTTTTGGCATCCTATTTTACATCTTTTTGTGTATCCCATAACTAATTATTGTAGATACAGATTTTACTACTTTTCTCTTTAACCTTCATACTAGCCTTATAAGTGATTGATCCACTGCATTTTCTACATGTTTACCAATGTTTGCTATTACCAGTGATTTTTTTTTTCTTTCATAACTTTCTTCTAACTATGGCCTTTTCTGCTTAAAGAAGTCTGTGTAACATTTCTTTTAAGGCTGGTTTAGTGGTGATGAACTCCTTTAACTTTTGTTTGCCTGGGAAACCATCTCTCCTTCAATTCTGAATGAGAACTGTGTTGGGTGGGGTATTCTTGGCTGTAGACTTTTTCCTTTCAGCACTTTGAATATATCCTGCCACCCCCTTCTGGCCTGCTACGTTTCTGCTGAAAAACCAGCTTATAATCGTATGGGGGTGCCCTTGTGTGTAACTAGTTGGCACAGCTCTTGCTTTTTCAGATTTTCTCTTTTCTCTTTAATTCTGACATTTTAAAAATGTGTCTGGGTGTGAATTTACTTGAGTTCTTGTTTGGTCTTCTCTGTGCTTCCTAAATCTGTGTGTCTGCTTCCTTCCCCCGGTAGGGAAGGTTTTCAGCTCTGATTTCCTCAAAGAAGTTTTCTTTTATTCTCTTCTCCTTCTGAACCCTCTGTAATGTCAATATTAGGACACTTGATGCTGTCCTAGAGGCCCTTTAACCTAACCTATGCTCATTTTTTATTCTCTTTTCTTTTTGCTGTTCCGCCTGGGGGATTTCCTCAACTCTGGCTTCCAGATCCATCTGGTCCATTATGCTGCTTATAATCTGCTGTTGATTCCCTCTAATGTGTTTTTAATGTCAGTTATTGTATTCTTTGGCTCTGACTCATTTTTCATATATTTTATTTCTTTATTCCTTAATTCTTTAAGTTCTCACTATGTTCATCCACCTAGTGGGTGACTGCCATTGCCAAGATAGGGAAGGTGAGAAAAGAAGCAAGTTCGGGGGGAAATAGCTCAACTTCAATTTTAATATATTTGAAATGTTTGTATGACATCCATGTGAGTATTTTCACTGGGCAGTTGGTAATACAGGTTTTGAATTCATAAGGGAAGTCAAGTTTGAAGAAATAGATTTAATAGTTGGGCCACAGTAGTAGTTCAGGTATAAAGAACACAGATACTGCAAAAAAGTGGTTACTCTGCCTCTGAGGATGAAGGAGCATTGCAGAGAAAGGTGCTCCTGGCAGAGCAAACCTATTTATGTATAGTTTACAGAACACTAGACCCTCACCAAAATCAGTGTGTTCAATAAGTTTATCTTCATTTCTTTAATATATGAAGTATAAAAACTTTGAAATGTTTCTATGGATAGAAAGGCAGAATGTGGATTTTAATTTTTCTTTTATTCAATTTCAAAGGAAAGAAGATTCTATATGATATACTTGCCTTTGCCAAAGAAAGTGTTAATTCTCATGTTACCACACTTGGACCTCAAAATTTTCCTGCCAATGACAAGGAACCGTGGCTTGTTGATTTTTTTGCCCCAGTAAGTTATTTTTATCTGTCAAATTTCAGTGTTGTCACATTTTCTCTTATCATAGCAAAAAGACATTTTCTAGGTAGTCTTGAACCATGAGTACCAAAATTGTGTTACTGAGTTTTGGCCCCTATCACATATTGCTTCTAGGAGAGCAGGGATGTACTTGCCCCTCCAAGAATTAAATAGACACACACACACACACACACGCATAAGATTTGTCACTAAGTATGGTTTATCTTACTTAGTATATGTTGCTTATTGCAGAAATGGTGGGGGTTTTTTGTTTCATTTAGCTCAGTGCTTGTGAATATTTTTTCTTTCATAGTGGTGCCCACCGTGTCGAGCTTTATTGCCAGAGTTACGAAAAGCATCAAAACATCTTTACGGTCAGCTTAAGTTTGGTACACTAGATTGTACAGTTCACGAGGGACTCTGTAACATGGTATGTATAAAATACTTGTTCTAATTAACACTTCTGTAATAGTTTTTAAGTTACACTGACAAAGGTCTCTGTTTCAGATGTATGTCTACATTTAGAGTAGTAAATTATTTAATCAAATAATTTCAAAAATATAAAATTATGATTGGATTAAAACTTGAATAGACAACATAAATAGTTGAATGTAGACATGGTTTTATTTATCAAACTGGGGAAAATATTTTGTTTACTTGATAAAATACATGATTTTTCTATTATTTAAAATCTTCATAATTTTTGACTCAGTATTGGCTTTTGGCAGTCTGTAGTTTGATTCTCAGGATTTCCTCATAATTGTCTTCCAAGTATAGTTAGTAGATGGAAATTTTAAAAATGAGCAAATTGGGGCGCCTGGGTGGCTCAGTTGGTTAAGCAACTGCTTTAGGCTCAGGTCATGATCCAGGAGTCCCTGGATCGAGTCCCGCATCGGGCTCCCTGCTCGGCAGGGAGTCTGCTTCTCCCTCTGACCCTCCCCCCCTCTCATGTGCTTTCTCTCTCTCTCATTCTCTCTCTCTCAAATAAATAAATAAAATCTTTAAAAAAAAAAAAAAAAATAAAAAAAAAAATGAGCAAATTTTTTTCAACCTTTGTTTACATAAAAATATTAGGGTAATTCATAAAATACTCAATTCTTCAGTTCCAGGAATAACTAAAAATTCTATGTCTTGTCATGAAAGTATATAATACCACCTATAAAATATTCTTGGAACAAGTCTCTGAAACCAAAATCAGATCTCACACCTTGAGATCTGTCCGTATGTAGGGAATCAGAGGAACATGTTAAGTGACACCATGGGCATGAAATCTGCAAGTCTCAGTATATAGAGGATCTTACAAGACAAATACCTAATTTATTGGTATTCAGATACACTGAAAGGTGGGAAAAGAGATGAAAGAGACTCAAAAGACATATGCAAATGCACTGTTTAGGTCTCGTTTGGATGCCAAACCAACTGCAAAAAGTGAGCAAGCGATAATTGAGGAAATTTGAATACTGACAGGGTATCTGATAATTATCAGGAATTGTTCATTTTTAGGTGTAAAAATGACAGTGTAGTTACACTTGGAAAATCCTTGTATTTTAAATATACAGAAATATGGGTGAAATGATAAATCATCTGGAATTTGCTTTAAAATAATCTTGGTGTAGGAGTTAGGAGGTAGTATAAATGAAGTAAGTGTGCCTATGAGTGGATGATTATTATAGCTACGAGAGTACATGCAAGTTTATTGCTGTCTGCTTTTGTGTGTATTTTAAATATTTTATAAAAGCAAACATTTTTAAAAAGAAAAAGAAAAATGGAGAAGAAAAAGAAAATGATAGGTTTTAAAAACAAGTAAATGTAGAGTGAAATCTTTATGGCATCTGTGTGAGGAAGAATTTCTCAGTCCACACACACAAGGTAAAAATTAATGTGAATGATTTTGACTATATTAAATGATAAAACTATTGCCAAAGAAAAAGACACTGAAGTTAAGACAACAGACTATTTACAGCACATGTAACTGACAGAAAACCTTATGCCAGAATATTTGACTACAGGTCAGTTTTTTTGTATAGATAAAATGAGAAAGTTGAAACTTTTTTTTAGAAAAAATCCAACAAACAAAAAATCTTGCACTTCACTAGCTAGCCATCAAGAAAGTACAAATTACAACAATCCATCAAATTAATCCATCATCAAATGAACAAAAATTTAGAAATCTGACAATAGCAAGTATGTGGATAGATTATCCAGTAACATAATGGAATACCATAGAGCATTTAAAATTAGATCTATCTTTACCAGCACGGGTAAGTCTCAAAAATACATTGTAAGATGACAAAAGCAAGCTGCAGAATAGCTTACAGAGTATGATAGAATTACAGAAAATTTTTTAATGCTCCAACATTTCACTCTACTGCCCAGGGATATATATGCATGTCACAAAAGTATAAAAACATTAGTGGATTAGATATATACTTATTTGAGGATATTAATTGCTCCTGCTTTCAGGGAGGAAAGGAAATGGGATCAAGAAAAAGAACCTAAGCAGTCTGCCAGTGTGACAAAGGAGTTAAATATCGAGTTAAATATCCTTAAATATCGAGAAGGGATATGTGGGTATTTGTTAGATGATTTCTCTCTTCATTCTGTTTGAAATTTCATTTAACTAAAAACTGAAATAAAATCTTTGGTTTTGAATGTCTTGTATGTGACATTGAAGGTAAGCAAGATACAAACAATGTGAAACAGTGATTATCTTAATTTGAATTCTTCTAGTTTTTCTACTTTTTAATCTAAACTATTAAATATCCTTTAGATAATTGAGTAAAATATAAGGATTTAAAACTGGTGTCCACTTCACCTGGAATAGAGGCCAGGAGTCATTACTCTCACTAACTGGTGGACCTTGACCAAGTCACATAGCCTCTCAATACCTCGTTTTCTCATCTGTAAAGTTGACATGGTAATTTTAGCCTCTGAATAGAGTTGTTGTAGAGAATAGATTAGAAACTACATGTTTAAGGGGCGCCTGGGTGGCTCAGTCGATTAAGCGTCAAGATTCTTGGTTTCGGCACAGGTTGTGCTCTCACGGTCATGGGATTGAGCCCCATGTCAGGCTCTGCTCATGGAATCTGCTTCAGATTCTCTCCCCCTCTCTCAAATAAATAAAATCTTTAGGAAAAGAAACTACATGTTTAAGTGCTAAAAAGATGCCCAACACATGCTAAACACTAAGATTAACAAAACAACAGTCATACCTAATGAGTTATTTGGATTTACACTCATTTTACAAAAGTTTGATAAAGATTTCCATTGTATTTGCAAAAATTATTTTTGAATCCTAATCAGAGATTCTAATTTGCTGTTGAGTGCTTGTCAACTTTAAGGATGCAAAGATCAGCTACAGTAAATTCACATAGATAGAACTTTTAGAAAAATAAAAATTAAAACTTCAAAGAAATGCTTCCTGGGCCAATGTTCATGTTAATTCTGAGGAGGAAATTACAGTATTTGTACCATAAACGCTATCTTGAATGAAGAATAAAAGGCGACCATATTCTTAGGACATGAGTCATAATTCCTTAAGTTAAAATATGGTTGTGTACATATTATTAATTTATTTCTTTATCCTTGCTACTTTGTTTCCTTTTTCTTCTACTGCTAGACAAATTGGAGCATTATTGTGGTTTCAAAAAGACTCAAGCCAAGAGATTAGCCTGCTCTTTACAGCCTTATCCGTCTTGTTTCAGCAGAGTCAAAAGGGCCCATGCTCATAATTAGCCATATTGTGGCTATGCACACTTCTCAGTGTTTCATTGCCCATGGATTTTATGGCTAATGGACTAGCTATACAAAAAGGTCATTTATCAGTGCAACTGTGAATCCATTTTCTTTGCCAAATTTGGCCAGGCTAAAATTTTTCAGTCACCAACAGTTTAGCAATGGGTTTTTTAAGTGTTATTGTTGTTACTTAAAAGCAAGCTGGTTATAAATTTGAAACCAATAGGTAAAATGCATAAAATCTTTAATTTGTATTCTCATTCCTAACAGTATAACATTCAGGCTTATCCAACAACAGTGGTTTTCAACCAGTCCAATGTTCATGAATATGAAGGACATCACTCTGCTGAACAGATCTTGGAATTCATAGAGGTATTTTAAATTAATTTATAGTATTGTAAATTACAGAAGTAAATTATTTTTAAATGGTTTTTGGTTTTATCTTGTTTTTTATTATTTCCCCAGTGAAATTTTTTGTTAGTATTACCCTATCATGGTAGACTGAAGCTTTATTAAAACAGCATTTGGAGCAAGTGAGCTTTTAGGGAGGTTGAGCAGTATCTCCAATCAGACTGTCAGGAAAATAGAATAATAGGCTTTCCATTAATAATTAAAGGATCATTTCCAAACCAATCATTGATTCTGGAACAGAACTATATGGCCTGTGTAGACATCTGGACACCTCTTAGAACTTTTTGTCCCATCTACTGTCACCTTAAATAAAGTTGCCTCTGTTCCCTACCTAAGATGATTTTAATGATACATAGAAATAAGAAAAAAATATACCTTGATTTAAGAAGGTTGATGGGCAAAGCCCAAATTAACAAGGAATAATTTCTTCCTTTTTAAAGTAATTCACTACAGATTATCTTTTAAACATCCATAAGTATCTTTTGATTATTCAGAAATAGGAACTTTTCTAAGCGACAACAATTTGCCAAGACTATAGGAACAACTTTTTATACCTGTTATAATGAAAGTTATATTCTCTTTAGGATCTTATGAATCCTTCAGTGATCTCCCTGACACCCACCACTTTCAATGAACTAGTTAAACAGAGAAAACATCACGAAGTCTGGATGGTTGATTTCTATTCTCCGTGGTGTCATCCATGTCAAGTCCTAATGCCAGAATGGAAAAAAATGGCCCGGGTATAGTAGTTTCTTTTAAATCTTAAAATGTAGCATGAATGTGTTTAATACAACTATTTTGAAACTGAGATGAACCCACCTCTAGATTATCACTTATAACAGTTCTCATTATACCAGTTAGATTTCAACTCTGTTTCTGTCTGGTTGGGTGAATGGTATAGATAATCTACCTTTTTTTTTTTCCTGTGTCACTTGCTTGGTACGTATCTGACCAAATTTCTGCCCAAGTCAACCCAAAAATCCCTTTATTTTCTATACAAATAGTGTTATAAATTATGAAAGATTGGAAAAAAGTTATGTAGAGAATGGAAAATGAAATCACTATTTTATATTTCTAAGAAAAAGTGAACAAACCAAAGAGTTAAAAGTGATTTCTAGTACCTTAACATTTAAGATAATGCAATTTTGTGTCCTTTTCAGTAAAATTTTAAAATTTAGGCATGATTCAGTGTGCTGCTCTGCAGGTCTCTATTTGAAAAATAACTTTGAAATACCATTGCAGAGACCTTCATTAGTTCCTTGTTTCTAACACTAAATTTTAGAGATAACCTAATTTTCCCCCCACATAGAACATGAATGAAAGCTGTTGTTCAATCTGTAATAATTGTAGTAAGGTCTTAACTCCAACTACAATTTCAGTTCATTACTATAAGTGTTCATTATGTTTTAAACCCTTAATTTGGTGAAAATCACTGATAAAAAGCATCTCACAGTGATAATTTCTCTATTGTAAACATAAATAGTTATGGAGGTAATTTTATTCTAATCACTTTGATCTATCTCCTCTTTTTCTCTTTTATAGACATTAACTGGACTGATCAATGTGGGCAGTATAGACTGCCAACAGTATCATTCTTTTTGTGCCCAAGAAAATGTTCGGAGATACCCTGAGATAAGATTTTTCCCCCCAAAATCAAATAAAGCTTACCAGTATCAGTAAGTGTTGCCTGAAATTTAAAGACATTTATTATAACCATTTATTTAAACAGTTAAAATTTAAAAGTTATCTTAGGGGTTCCTGGCTGGTTCAGTCAGAAGAGCATGTGACTCTTGATCTTAGGGTCATGAGTGTGAGCCCCACGTTGGCTGTAGGGATTACTTAAATAAATACATAAGCTTGTCTTAAAAAGTTATCTTAACTAAATAAAAGTTAACCCAACAAATACTTTTTGGGAGCCCACCATGTTTTAAGATCATGTGCTAATGAGAACCTCTGAAGATGAAAAAAGAATTGAATGATCCCAATATTCATGAAGCTGGCATGCTAGTATAGAAGAAGAGAAACAGAGGAAGTACTAACATTTAGTAAGTCAGTATTTGGTTTCAGGTGCTTTACTAGATCCTTTGCTCATGTTATTCCCACTAGTCCTCACATATACCCTGAGAAATAAGAATTATTGCCCTTCCTCCTATACAGATAAGTAAACTGATTAACAGACCTTAAGTCACACAGCTGCTAAGGTTTGTAATTGAGGATTCAGCCCAGTCTGTGTCAGTGCCCATCCTGTTTCTGTAACACCACACAGCATTTGAGGTAATAAACTCAAGTGCAAGGCAGAATATAAGAAATATTATTTAAAAGATAAAACTGAGCCATGGATTGCAAAGGAGGAAAGGATTACAGCTATGAGAGGAAATCATGAAAGGCTGCGTTTATGAGGTGGCTTTTGAAATGCGTCTTAAAAAGTACTTAGGACTTTGACGGACATAATGACCAGAGTAAAGGTTCTGAAACTGAAGTCTTAGACATTTGGAGTGTTACCATTCCCATGCATCTATAGGAGATGTCCAGCAGGCAGCTAGACATTCAGGGCTGTTTTGAGCACACACACAAAAAACATCGAGACTAGAGAAAAATATATTTGGGAAGCCATGTAAGCAGCATTTATAGCTAGGTGTATCTGAGAAGGGAAATGGTATGTAGTCAGTAAGTTAAACTTTTCAATTGCTGTAGAGAGATGGTTTTCTGAACATATCCAATAATAGAAAATAGTACTTAAAACTTACATATTTTTTTCTTCTTTCAGTAGTTACAATGGTTGGAATAGAGATGCTTATTCCCTGAGAATTTGGGGTCTAGGGTGAGTAATCAAAATAGGTATCATTGTATAAAATAGATTCAGTGCTATTTACCTTCCTCTTATGTCTGTAGTTACAGGCTATAGCATTTTAAATTACTTAGTAAAGAATTACAGTTTACCAAGATAACTCTGAATTCAGTCATTTTTAATCTAGAAACTTATGCAATATTATATTTTAGATGTTTGTTTTGGTTTCATATAATGAAAAATAATTTTGATCCCTTGCCACAGATTTTTACCTCAAGCATCCATAGATCTAACGCCTCAGACTTTCAATGAAAAAGTTATACAAGGGAAAAATCATTGGGTGGTTGATTTCTATGCTCCTTGGTGTGGACCTTGCCAAAATTTTGCTCCAGAGTTTGAGCTCTTGGCTAGGGTAAGTCTTGTCTGTCTACTTAGATAAGTTGTAGTCATATGCATGTTTTAATAATTAGATAAAATAACAGTTATTTAGGGCACCTGGGTGGCTCAGTCAATTGAGCATCTGCCTTTGGCTCAGGTCATGATTCCTGGGTCCTAGGATTGAGCCCCATGTCCGGTTCTCTGCTCAGTGGGAAACCTGCTTCTCCCTCTCCCTCTGCCTGCCACCCCCCCTGCTTGTACTCTCTCTCTGTGTCAAAGAAATAAATAAAATCTTTAAAAAAATAAATAAGTTATTTAAAAATTAGATGAAATGATTAGATATATTTTAAATATAATTCTCTTAAAAGTTTTCTGTGAATTTTTTAAAACTCCATTTCATTTCTATGACTATAGTCCTTGCACATTTCTTCCTTCTTTATTAATGCTGTTAGCTGAGATCTCTGTCTTGATTGAGGACTCATCTACCTAACCAGAACAGCCAGACACCTCACTTCTTCTGATTGTTCCCTTTTTCTTTCCTTTCCTCATCTGATGGCCTGGCAAGCGGCAGTCCTATCAGTTCTGTCTCCTGCATGCCTTTCCAGTCTGTCATCTCCTCTCCATCTGCTCTGCTAGCCTCTCTGTTCAAGCCCGCATCGTCTCATCTAGACATGTGTGCCCTTGAACTAGTCTCATGTTGCCAGTCTGCCTTCTTCAGTTCTGCCCTGATCATCTTTCTGAAATACTCCTTTCTCAGGCTTCCTGTGAACAAGTTTCTGGACTTGCATCCTTGGTTGCAGGTCTGGGATGGGACCCTTCATCCCTCTTCAGCTTTCTCTCTGTCCCCACCCCACACCTTACCGTTCAGGCACAACAAAGTACTCCAGGTTTGTTGAACAAGTACGTGCTGTTCCCTCTCTCTAAAATGCCTTTTCCTTACCTTGGGCATCTGGATCTTTTTCTCCTTATCCTACAAAACCCAGCTTCAGTTGGCACTTCTGTGTTCACTGTCCTTCTCATTCAGTTCACTTTGATGTCTTGTACTCCATTGGTGTACTTATACGATGGATGTTAAATATTTAGTTAGTTACCTGTCTCCTTCATAAGACTGAACTTCTTGAGGGCTAGTTTTACAGGTCTTGTCCAACTCAGTAAATGCTTATAAAACTTAACTGAATGCATAAGCTGAATGCAGTCGGAGTTTTTGTTGTTTCTGTCATCATCATCCTGCTCATTACCTAATCCAGATTGTTAGCTTCCCTTGCTTCAAGGAGCTTTGCCATGGGCTATAAAACACTCACTAGAATGAGAAAGCTCCAGTTTCACCAGCCTAAAACAAAAGCTAAAATCCCAAGCCATCGAGATTTCTTTAGCAAAGGGATTTCAGAGCTCCCCGGAGTCATAAAAGATTATTTTAATTACTGGATTGTCCTTCAAATAAAAGGTTATTCATTTTCCGCTTACTAGATCTTCTTCTCTTATGCTTCCTTTTTCTCCAGTAATTCTAACAAAATGTTTTTACTCCCTTTGTATTTAGCTTATTTTGTAATGCAGCCATATCTTGCATATAGCAGAAAGTTACTCAGTATCAAAAAGATCATAGCCTGAAGAGCAAGTCCGGGGTCTGGTAGAGAGGGACTGGAGGCTATAGGTGTAGTTGTCAGCCTTCCACAAAACGAAGAAGAATGGTTGCTACCTCAGCCTGTGAGCCAGAGAAAGGAAGAAGGTGGGTGAGGACAGAATCTGAGGTGTTTGTGGTGTGACGGACAAGGTGTGGGTACCAGGAAGGAGTTTTTTTTGATAAGATGAAGAGTTTATTTGCTCTTGGAGAGGTGGTTCTACGTAAATAGGTATTATAAAGAGCCAGTAAAAAGTTGGAAGCGATCTTATTAGAATGGAAAAGATGAAAGCCTAAGTCTTTAAAATTATAAAGATTTGAAAATATTTGTATCATGTTGCCTTGTGGTTGCCAAAATAGTTTATGCCACAGAGAATGGCAAACCATATTTCTTTCTTTTCAGATGATTAAAGGAAAAGTGAAAGCTGGAAAAGTAGACTGTCAGGCTTATGCTCAAACATGCCAGAAAGCTGGTATCAGAGCCTATCCAACTGTTAAATTTTTTCCCTACGAAAGAGCAAAGGTACGTACAAGGCCTTCCTATACGTACCTTTCCTTTAGCAGACCAAGTTGAAAAGGTTTGTTATTAGTCTGAATGTTTTTATTAGCTTTTTCTCCCTTTGTCATTTTTTATTTTATTTGCGTATGTAAAAACTTCAATAATATGCATCAAGTGATTTTAAAGGGTTTTTCTGTCTCAGAGTTTATATGATCCACTGCCTTAAAATTTTTATACTCCTCAATTACAGAAACTACTGAAGGAGACATACCAGAATATTAGTAGTAGTTTTCTGTGAGTGGAGAATTTAAGGTAATTATTTTCTATGAAGTTCTGTATTTCCTACTTTTAGAAAAATAATTTATATTACCTTTTTTTTTCCAGGAAAGGAAAAAAATTAAAATACTATTGTAATATTTTTGAAATAGACCAGTACCAGAACATTTATCTTGAGAAATATTTATTAGTGATTTAGACTACAAAATAAAAGATAGGGTTCCTTGGTTTGGTTTCCCTTCTCTAGGCCACTGTGTTTTTTTCCCCCCAAAAGAAAACTAGACATCTACTGATGGGTTTTAAAATTCAGGTGATAACCCCTATGGTCATTTATATAAATGCATGTATCTTTCAACCAGTATAATTGCTAACTGAAAGTACTCATGACTTCTATCTTCCTGAGTAAAAGCATGACATTTTTGACAATAGAACTAATTAAATAAGGATTTGCCATGTATTCATGTTTTCTGGTAAAACATTTGAAATGTCATTTCAAATATTTTTATACTTTTTGAGAAAGAACATCAGCTTAAGATTTCATTTATTAGAAATTATATTTTGGAGTTAAATAATGAAATTGGATGATGAATTTCAGAAGTCTAGTATTGTCATCTAGATTTTTCAGTGAAGGATTTTGATTTGTCAAAGAGGTTAATTCTGTCTTAAGAACAGCCTGGGGTAAGCAGAACTCAGAGTAAAAGGAGCTTATACCAGTACCTGAATCTTCATTCCTTTGGAATCATTGACTCTACTTTGATTCTCAGAACAGCTGAGAAATGGGTGACATAGATAGGGGTCTTCACTCAGAATGATGTTAGGGAAGTATCAATATAATGAGCAGTCACAGAATTAATCAGGCCATAGAAGGAGCTGTTTGAAAAGATGATGTTACCGTGTGTTTAGAGAAGCCCAGAAGACATTAGGACTCCAAATATCCCTGCCCAAACCAAGAGACAGGGGTAGAAGACCAGGCCAGATTTGAAAACCAAAGCAGAACAATGATTGTGGTAAACAGCAGTACAAATCAGGTGGGCAGTAACACACAAAAACAAGATCCTAACATATAGTGTGGAGTTCCCACCAGGAAGAAGGAAATAAATGACTCGAGATCCAAGATAAGCAAGCCTGATATATTGACCTGCCCCCTTCCCTGCTTTTCAACCACCTTCCTGCTGTGAGCAGATGAGAACCAGGAGACATACATTACTTTCCAGTGTTGTTGTTGATCAAGGTTTCAACTGTGCCTATGATTTGTATTAGATTAGAACAACTTGGGTCCTTTTCTTTACAATTTAGTTATTTTAAGGCAACTGGAGTTAGCAATACATTTTTTCCAAGGAATTGTTTTACATGTTCCTATAACAGAATTGTATTTAAGTAAATTATGAGTTCACTGCTTTTGCTATTTCCTTGAAGAAATTTGAGTTTCAAACATTTAGAACTTTTAAGGAATAATCAAATTTCTTATACAGAAATGTCATGTTTTGATTAGATACCTAAAGATTATAAGAGGATTGTTTTTAATTTTAGAGAAGCATTTGGGGAGAGCAAATAGATGCCAGAGATGCAAAAGAGATTGCTACCTTAATATATGAAAAATTGAAAAATCTCCAAAATCATGGAAAGAGAGATAAGGTAAGGACTAAATCTAGAGTTGACTTTGGCTCTAGATTTATATTTATATTATCTATTCTTACTGTACATTGTATCTGTCAATAAACAGGTACAATGGAAGCTCCAAAGAATAGCAAAGTTGAAGTTTCTTAATTTGGAAAATAGGACAATCCGAGTGTAGCCTGTATACACTGATAAGCTTAGAAATATGGACAAGTAAAACCATTTAGCTCAAAATTGTAAACTATGGCCATAAATTATTTAAATTTTGTTCAAGTATAAATAAAGCATTGACTTGTTGGGAACAAATATACTGGAGCCTCAAAATATTTTGTATAGCAAATTCTCTTCTGGTAGAGTCAGGATGTATTGGAACCATATTCATCTTTGCCCCTCCTTGAATTTTTATTTCTCAAGAGGCAGTGCAACCCCTTTGCTAATCTGTGAAAGAACTGTTTTTTCCCCCTTTTTTAAATCATTGTCATTCTAGGACTTACTTACCAACAGACCAAAGAGTACTGGAGTGCTTTCTGAGTGGAATTTAATAAAACCACGTATGAGGTTTTTTGGATTCTTTCCCTATAACGAAAGAAGGGCAAAAAAGAACACAGTTTCTGGAAAGGGCTAGAGCTGTCTGGCTTTATAGAACCATATTAGAACTGCAGACTCCAATATAGAGTCCTTACATCCTGTAGTGAGAGTTATAAATCTCTATTTTCTTGGGTTTACAAAAATATTTTTTCTGATGTTTTGACTATGTTAGCTTCCTCAAGAGGTTTTAAAGTGTGTCTCTTACCTCAAGTTAAACATTTGAGGTAGAAAATGTTATTAGTCATAAACCAGAATATCATAATTGAAATTAAGTTAAAAAACATACCAGTGTGACTAAATGTAATTAGTAGTATCTGCATGGACAGGTAAGAACTAAAAGATAGCCTTTTCCTTTCCATTGTTACAGTTAGGCAAGGTATATTTCATATTAATGGTGATCCATTAATTATTTTTTAAAAGGTAAAATACTGTAATCAACATTTTAATAAAAATTCATACTTTTTCAATCACTTTTACATTATTGTAGGATGAACTTTAATGATGGTTGAAGATGGAGAAAAGGAATTCTAACAAATGACATCAGAAGACATCTTTTTAGGATGTTACTACGTTCTTGGTGGGAGTAAATGAACATTATCTTGGACTTGTAATTGCACTGTCTGAATTCTGTACAACACTGGTTTAAATGAAGGGTCTGCAAGCTTTTTCTGTAAAAGGCCAGATCGTAAAGATTTTAGGCTTTGTAGACCATAAACAGGTGTCACATACTCTGTTTTTGTTTTGTTTACAACCCTTTAAAAAATGCAAAAACCATTCTTAGCTCAGGGCCATACACAAACAGGCCACAAGCCACATTCAATTCCTGGGCCATAGATGACTGACCCCTGGAAATGATGTTGTTAAGACTGGCTGGCTCAAACATGAGCCTGCTCTATTATGTACATACATGTCTAAGTTGTACAAAACTGGACTCTATTCCTTAAAGTTTTGTGGCTGGCCTGAAAAGAAATAACTTGGTTTTAGTCACCTGTTCGAAATATTGGATGAAATGGATTCTGTTTCATTTAAAAAACACACTCAAGTTGTGGCAAACATACCCTGTTTTCATGCTGTATTATAGTGAAGCGATTTTTCATTTTCTTTCTAAATGTTGAACTGATTTTAATTTTTCACAGTTGAGAAAAATTTTTGTAACAAATAAACCCAGTAGATTTCTACAGCATCTAGAAATACCTGAGGAAAACAATATTTGTAGCTATTAACTGGGCACTGTAGAGTATCCCAAATATATCAAGTATTTAGAGTTCTGTATTTTAAACATATGTGTTCATTTATTTTCTGAATTGCTTTTTTTAAAGTTTTACCCTGTGATCGTAATTGACTTTTGAAGTACTGTTCTAATATTTATGGTTTTGCCTTCTGGACTTTGTTTTGATACAGATCCTTTATTTACATTTGCCTTCTCCCCTCCCCCTCACCCCCCATAGCTGTGGTTTTTCATTAGTCTGATTTCCTCATTATTCAAATAGGAAAAGTAATTTTGCTGTTTTGTTTCACTATAGCTCATAATGACACTGCAGTTATTCCATTTATTAGTTTGCGTTGAATGCTACCATTTTCAGACAAGTACTGGCATAACGGAACTTTTTATAAGAAAATCAAGTATTAAATCTAAGGATGGGATCTTTTCATTTCTCAGTTGTTCAGACTAAAAGAATCCAAAATTTTCCTTGCATCTAAACAAAACATGTCAACGTGCAGTTGTTTAGTTACAATTCAGAGTGTATGGAATGGTAAAAACTCCAATTTATCAAAAGAGGTCAGCAAATTAAAAAAAAGTTTTCCCAAAAACTTACTAGGATTATGCTTTATTATACTGGAAGTTTTATTTTTTTAATGTAACTTTATGTCCTTCCCAATGTTTACTCATAAAGATAATTATTTTATCACTGCAGTATCTACAAAGACAAATTTTATTTTCAAGTCTAACCTTAATTCATATTCTCCCATTCTGCTTCAGTTGAATCCTTTCAGTCCTCCTAGCCTTGGATTCCAGTTCACTTACGTGGGCAGTTACAGACCAATTGCCACTTCTAACTTTAATACCACCTTTTTGAAATACGATTAGTAATGGCAAGTGCCTTTCATGTGTTAAATTTTCACGGCCTAGAAATCTCAAAATTGGCTTTCCACAATAATTCCAAGATGGAAGACCTAAAGAAGTCTTGGTAACTGTTTATTGAATTAATGTACCAATTATGCAAATACCACTGTGCTGGACACTGAAGCATATGTAGAAGGAATCCAAGGAATGGTTCCTGTTTCCCAAGTGTCTGTAATTCACAGTTCTGACACTGAACCCATAAATACGTTTATAGGTACCTGCCTGTACTACTACCTAGAAATACAATTCCAAACCTACTGAGAAACACTTAAGGCAGTAAAAAAAAGAGTAAACATTATATATCCCGTAACTTGGTCTAAGTATGTGCCTGTGGAATTGGCTCTAAAGCCAGGGCTACTGGGAGTTCTATTAAATAATATATTTATCCTGCAGTATCCAGCCGGAGGCTATTTTCTGCAAAAATAACAGTGTCATTGAGTATCTCAAGAGCAGCGGGGAGAATTAAAGGGTTTAACAGCCATGTAAGTGCAGTAGAGCACCTCTGAAGAGTGCCAGGTAAAACGTGCCATTTCTCTCAGCAATACCATTTTTGTGTGCAGCTGCCCTTGGGGAACAGAGCACCATTTCCAGCAGACCAGAGAGTATTCTATCAGGCAACTGTATTTGAAAATTAGATATTTAAATATGTGGCTATATAAAACAATTTGGAGTTTGTGTTTTTGATATTAATGATGCTTACCTATTCCATTTTCCCAAATTTTATTTAAGATTTTTTATATCTTTTTTACTTAAGGTATATGATTAAGATAAAGGATAATGAAATTTTTATATTGTAAAAGTTTTCTTTAAATTTGTGCTTTGTTTCCTAACAGTATTCAAAGCAGGAATTTTCTTAAGTACAGTTATCAGAATTGCTGTGTTGTTGCCTATGGGACACATTTACAAAGATACTTAGAATATGAAAAGCTTTAATGAGGTAATATTTTTCAGCCCTTTAAGACAGATTTTTTTGTATAATTAGGCCATAGGTCTACCAAACTCAGATAAATGTCTTAGACATATTCAGTCCACCATGACTATTAAATAGTACAAGGTTAACAAAATGTATTTTAAATTTCCTGTAATGATTCCTATAATTGGTTCTGAGGATGAGAAGAAAATAATCTTTTAGTAGTATGCTACTTTACACATAAACTAAAACTTTTAAATACACCTAAATTCCTCTGGTGAATAGCTTATTGTCAGTAAGAGTAATGACAATTTAGGTTCGCCACCAGGCTAAGTAGAAATGTATTACTGACTGTACAGCCAAGTTTAGTGATTCACCACTTGAGTCTTTTTTATATTTAACACTAAATTTGCACTTAGATTCTTATACTGTCACCCAATCCCCTTGTTAGCAGTTGGATCTATTTTGTGAGAGGTGACTAACCCAAATTATGGCTGCAGGCTAATGCCAGACTAACCAATATGATATCTTGATCAGTTGGTTACACTGGTCACTTGAGTGCATTCCTTCGTACCTGCTGTCCTGTTAAAAAAGATGTAGGTCAAAACCTATTCAAAAAGATCTGTGCTAAGGTGCACAAAAAAAGTGTTCCATACTAATTAACTACTGATAGAGAACTCTTTATTAAATAACTGCTATTCTAAACATTTTAATATTTTACATCCTCAAATTAAAAAAAAGGAATTGGTTCCAGTAGAAGATGGTGAGAAAAGAGGCTCCTGAACTTAGCTCCTCCCATGGACACACTGAATCCACAGCTGTGTACAAAACAATTCCTTCTAAAAGAAATCCAGACGCTAGCCAAGTGACTCCTAGCCATCAGGTTAATGAGAGAAAAACCCACATTAGAGTGGGCAGAAGCTATGACACGATCTCCTCATACACCCCATCCCCCAGCACAATGCCACAACGAGGGAACTCACAACTGCCAGCCAAGAATACGCAGCAAAATTGTCCTTCAGAATTAAGAGATCAGCAAAAGCTAAAGGAATTTATCACCACTAGACAAGCCTTAACAAGGGATTTAAAGGGACTTCTTCAAGCTGAAATGAAAGGGCATTAATTAGTAAATACAAAACATTTGAAAGTATCAATCTCACTGGCCAAAGTAAATATATACTTAAATGTGATGCTGATGGGTCCATCATTTATAAATCTATACTAAAGATTTAAATGTCATATCAGACAACAGGAGAGTAAAGCGGTGAAGGTTTTGTAGGAGAGTAAAGTTAAATTGTTAGCATAAATCGACTGATGGATTTAAAGATGTTCTATGTAAGACTCATGGTAACCACACAGCAAAACTTATAATAGATGCACAAAAGTTAAAGAGAGTTGGGGCACCTGGGTGGCTCAGTTAAGCATCTGCCTTCAGTTCGGGTTGTGATCTCAGGGCCCTAGGATCAAGCCCTGCATCAGGCTCTCCGCTCAGCAGAGAGTCTGCTTCTCCCTCTCCCTCTGCCCTCCACCCTCTGCTTGTGCTCTCTCTCAAATAAAATCTTAAAAAAAATAGAATTAAAGTGAATCACTACAGAAAATGATCAACTCACAAAGGAAGACTGCAAGAAAGGGAGAGATGAACAAGAGAACTATAAAATAGCCAGAGAACAATTATGAAACAATATTAGTAAGGCCTTGCCTATCAATAATTAAATGTAAATGAATTGAATTCTCCAATCAAAACACAGAATAGCTGGATGGATTGAAAAAAAGACCCAACTATATGCTGCCTACTAGAAACACTACAGCTTTAAGGGTACACATAAGCTCAGGAATGAAGAGAAGGAAGCTGTTACAAGCAGAAGCCAAAAGTTGGTATAGCACCCCTGGTCTTTCTGTGATCCGAGGGTCCTGAAACCACACTGTCCCAGCAAGGGTTCCACCCCCCGCTTGGCCACTGGAGCAACATACTTCAACAGAGCAGATTTCTAAAAGTTCCGATTTTGTGCTCAGCTGCTCTAACACTTGCCAGAAGCAGCAAAGGAACTACCCAGAAGAATGGCCCAAACCCCTGCGAACACCACAATTCCTGACCCAGAAGTTTTCTGAGGCCTTGGATCGAGTGGTTGGTCGTGACAGGTCTTGTCTCATGAAGAGACGAGCACACCTAGTTAAAGTGCACGACATTCAGGCCAAGGACCAAACACTACCTCGTGACAGGCAAAGAGAGCCTCTGCAGATGACTGACCTGAAGGATAAAGTGGCCAGGGAACAACAGCAAAGCACATAGAGCATACACTGGAGATAATCCTAAAAGCAGCAGACCCTGGAGAACAAAGGACACTACACTGCATGGCACTACAGGACCTATTCTTCATAAAGCCATTATCCTCAAGAACAGGAGACATGGCTGACATACATTACACAGATAAACAGGCACAGAGACTTAGACAAAATGAGAACACACAGGAATTTTTCCCAAATGAAAGAACAGCCTGGAGATCTAAATGAAACAGATACAAGTAATGTACCTGATGGAAAATTTAAAGCAATGATCATAAAGATAATACCCAGATTTGGTAAAAGAGTGGAGAACATGAGTGAGACCATTAACACAAGAGATAAGGAATAATAGAACAGAGATGAAGGGCTCAATAAACAAAATGAGACATATGTTTAGTGGAAAGAACAGGCTGGAAGAAGCAGAAGAATGAATGACCTAGAAGACAAAGTAATGGAAAGTAAGCTGAACCAAAGAGAGGAATTATGCAAAACAAGAATATACAGAGGGAACTCAGTGACTCTCCATCAAATGTAGGGTTGTAGGAATTCCAGAAGGAGAGAAAAGGGGGCAGATAATTTATTTGAAGAAATAATAGCTGAAAACTTCCCTAATCTGGGGAAGGAAACAGATATCCAGATCCAAGAGGCACAGAGAACCCCCAACAAAATCAACAAAAGTAGAGCCACACCAAGACATATTGTAATTAAAATGGCAAAATATAGTGATAAAAATATTGAAGTCAGCAAGACAAAGGAAGACCGTTACATACAAAGGAAACCACATAAGGCTATCACCAGATTTTTCAGCAGAAACTTTGCAAGCCAGAAGGGAGTGGCATGATATATTCAAAGTGCTGATTGACGAAAACCTGCAGCCAATAATACTTTATCCAGCAAGGCTATTGTTAAGAGATTCCCAAACAAAAAGGAGTTTGTGGCCACTAAACCAGCCCTGGAATATTAAAGGAAACTGAGTGGAAAGAGCAGACCAAAAATCACAGCATGAAGGTAGGAAACACAAAAGAGTAAAAATATTTCTGTAAAAAATCAGTCAAGGAACTCAAAAGGATGTAAAATATGACACCATATACCTAAACCATGGAGAGGAGAAGAGTAAAGAATGGGTTCCAATTTAAACATCCATCAACTTAATACAGACTGCTCTATGCAGAAGAGGTTTTATATAAACCTATGGTAACTATATATC